ACCTCAAGCCAGAGTAAGCCAGAATACTTATCTGGCAACCCTGAGTTCCAGCGCTGCCCCAGCGAGCCGACACTCCCAGCCGGAGATAGCCACACCTCCGGAGAAATCCAGGAGGTTCCATTGGCAGAGCCGGGAGAGACGGGAGGTCCCTCCGACCGGCTCGACGCCTCGCCAACAACTGAACTGCGCAGGTCAACCAGGATTAAGACATGCCCTGGTCACCTGCGTGATTTTGTATGTAAATATGTAAATAGATAGAATAAGTGCCTTCTGATCTGTCCCCGCCCACACACACACACAAACACAGCCAGCCGAGGGTTAAGGAAGCACTTGGAACACACCCAGGTCTTTATCTCCAACTTGGCAGCGATATACACACCGTCTGCCAAGTGCTTTTATTTCCACAGAAAACAGAAAGATAATATACTCAGTGTACAAGAGTCCAACAGAATTAATATTCCTCTCAGCAGTTTCGGACGAGGCTTTAGTGACTATCCAAGGTTTATTTTTGTTCGTCACAGGGATCACTGGCCACCACCCTCTATTATATAGTCTTTGGGGTGTGGTCCAGTGACTCAGTTCTAATCCCTAGCATGCCTCCTGAGCTGCTGCAATCGTTTATCATGCCTTCGGAGGCGTGCGTCCAGGAATGATGTCTCTCCTTCACTCTCATCCAAGACACCTGTCTCCCTGCTAATCTCCTCTCCCTCGGCCGGCACCTGAGACAGTGCCAGAGGGGAGGGGCCTGGAGAGGGAGGCCTGGCTGACTCCTCTTCCTCATGCTCGGAGCTTTCTTCCTCCGATGGGATAGGCTCAGAGGGCGGGGCCACAACACTTTCTGGGAGGGGAGGGGTGTTGTGTATGTATCTATTTTGTGCGGGAAATTCAAATGCACAGTGAATTCTGATTGGTTCTGGGTTGCCTCTGGAAAGTATATAAAGAGGGCTGTTGCCTGTGAGTTTTTGCTGAAGTCTCACCCTGAATTAAAGAGCTGTTGTTACTAGCCTGCTTGTGCCTCTCGTTATTCCCACGCTACAACAGTATGGCCTTCTCCAATTCGAAGAGACACTTGTTCAGCAGGCCAAGGCAAAGAGGCAGTCCCGGAACCAACGAAATCTGGGGGCTGGGCAGGGGACAGACTGTATCTGCCCTCAATGTGGAAGGGATTGCCACTGTCGAATTGGCCTTTTTAGTCACACCAGATGCTGTTTTAGGACCTCTTTCCAGAGCACGATACCATAGTCTTTTAAGACTGAAGGTTGCCAATGATGGTAGTATTTTCTAGATGGATAAATTTTTGGCCTTTGGGCCAGTCCCTCTCTCTTAGTCCTAGGAAGAAGATAATAGCAAACTACTTCCCAAAAGCTTGCTAAGAAAACTGTTGGGACTTGTCCAAGCAATCACCAGAAGTCAAGACTGACTTAAGGGCACCCCACTCTTACAGTTATTAAGTATGCTACTGCAAAACCTCTGAATTTACTTTCTTTTAGCATTTCCATAACAGGCCTTGGCAATAAAGGTTAACAAAGAAGTCCAAAGTTCACTATGATCCCCTTTAAATTTAGAAAGCTGAAACACTTTGCTTAGGTCACTAAAATTAGGAACACTCTGTCCAAATAAAAATATGATCCAGCCAAGTCATATGAAACCTTTTGTGAGATACTCCAAGAGACAATCAGCATTCAAACCAGTCCACCACTGTATGTCACATTCCTACAGCATGAGTTGAAAAATCTTTCTCCTGTTGATGAAGTAACCAGATAAGATGTAGGTGTCCTATGGAAAACTAGCAGTCATGGCTGCCTCCCAATGAACAACAATTAAAAAATGGAATATGAATGTGTTGCTCCACCAGTCCATTGTACAGAAAATATAGTGACTTGCCACAAGGAATGAAAACAGCCTTTATCACTAACATTATTATATCTCTTAGGCATAATGATTTTGTGTATTTTACTACTCCATTATTTTTTCATCTGGTAATTAATGCATTTAGTTGGAGGACTCAGGGAGCTATGGATAGGCAGTTATTTTGTTCTATTCTCCCTAGCAGATTTTCCTTGATAAGGGGGAAAAAACAGAACCACTTGGAGGAGCATCTAAAAAGCTCCAAATGAATGACATTGCTATTTGGATACAAACACCCATGCCTATACAAAGGTTTTATTAACGTGAGGTACTACTATCATTTTCAGTCCTGATACCGTCATCTCTAAGAACTGGAAAAGCCAAGAACAAGGAATAAAGAATACCATTGTGGATCAAGTTTCTGCAGATTCTTCAGGAACAAAATCTTTCACTCTCGCTATACCCAAAAGAAAAGGGAAAAGAAGAAAAAAATACTCAGTAGGCTGATTCTATATATTTGTTGCTGAAGAAAAGTAAGAAATGAAACAAAACTCATGTCAGTTTCAGTTGTTTCATCTGGATTGCTGGAGGAACTCACACAGGTTTAGCTCTTAAAGGACCTAAATCTCAGGAGCCAGAAAGAAGGGTAAAGTAGTTTCAACTATATAATGCAGCTGAACTCACAACGGCATAACGAACTACATGCACCAGTTCTGTGCCACTGTCGAGCATTCCTCACCTCCTTCTGCCCTTCCATTGGCCAAAACTCTCTGATGCTGTCCAATGGGAGGTTAAATGGCAGTTAGCTGGTATGCTGCCCCTTCCTTGTTCTTCCTTTGCCAAAATTATTCTTAGTAATAAAGGAGAAAAAAGTGAGCTGAAAAAGGTAAATGGTCAACCCCATCCCCAGCACTGTGCTGATAAAGCAACCACTCAGAGCACCCAGCAAGTGATGAAGGAATGATAGTAATGAATGCTTTGTTTCAGAAGGGGGGGGGGGAGAAGAGGGGGGAGGGGGAGGGGGAGAGTGGGGGTGTCCAGGAGCCAAAGCAAGGCAAGACAGGAATTTCTCCCATTGGGAAATGCCCAGTCCAGCTATGGAGGAGCAGCACTTACGTTGATTAACTTCAAAAGGTCATTGGTTTAGCTGATAAAGAACTCTGGAGCATAGCATGATGATAATATGCATAAGCAATGCTAAATCTTTAATGACAGGATCAAGAGACTCTTATAGTTAGGAACTACTTTTTCATTGCCATAGAAATCTCATGTAGAAGTGACCATGAGCACCAACAGTTTCTGAGTTTCTAGTTATTTATACTTCTGAGGGGAAAGATACATATTCTATGCACATAGAAGACAAGAACTCCAAGATACAATTTAAGAAATGGGCAATTGCAAGGTTTGGTTTCTAGTTTTTGTAGTCCAAACCTCAAATCATGCTCAGTGGCAGACAAACCATTTCAATGAGAAAGTAATAGAACATATCACAGATGGGGGTAAAATTGTAGCAAAATAGAATGATGATGAAGAAAGTCATGTCAGCCAATGACCACAGAAGCATCTTCAGATAATGATGGCTCCCTCAGCTACGAAACTGAAATGAGCACCATCCCCCAGAGTCAGACATGATTGAACAGAGGAAACCTTTACCTTTTTTTAAATGCTTAAAACAGGACTGCTATAAGTGTGTCCCTATTATCAATAGTGACACAATGGAGGTTATCCGAATCTGAGAAGCAAAAACCTATTCTCAAGAGCAGATAGTATCTATCAGCAGATTAGCAAATTATGTTTGATCAATAGCTGTAAAGTAAATAATTATGCAAAACTTTGCATTTTGTTTTCTTGCTCCTTTTTTTGATGGGTCAGGCAAAGCTCAGAGACAAATTGTGACAATTTAAGATGTGCCACCAATATGCTATTGTAATTTTTGAGAATTTTGCCACATACTGGTCATGATCATGAAAGGTGTTCCCAATCCAGGTATCTTTTGGTTTTGACGTTATGTTGCCTTACTGGCAAAGGGATGGCCACGGTATCACTCCTTCACAGGTGATAAAGAAAGCACCAAATCACAGAGATAGATCACAGATGCTGCATATTCTCTCATTGTGGTATTTGCTTTGGATATTATTGCTGATAAAGAGAGACATTGAAGAAGTGACTTCTTCTATATGCATTGTGATTTTTCACACTGCCTTAGCAATATAGGAAAAAGCTGCTGTATAGTTGTTCCTCCCCTGCCAGAACCGCCTTTAAAGGTGAATAATTGTGTGACTGAAGCTTTTGGGTAGCTAGGCACTGACACAGATATTGTCAATAGGTACTTCTCTCATACAAGTAATAGTGAACCATAAGCTGGCTTTCTTTCTTGATAGTAACCATCTCATATATCATTAGTTTTGAATTCTGTGAAAAACTGCACAAAATTATCTAACCATATAAGACTCCAGTATCACGTCTTACAAAATCTAGAAGGCATTGTGCTCAAATGAGACCTAACTATAAGTTTTAGACAATATTGTGGGTGGTTCTAGGTACTTGCTTATTCTGAAAACACAAGTTGCTATAGATAAAAAGACTTCACTAGCTAGTAATATGACCTTGAATCTACCCTATTTCTATAAAGTAGCTATTGTTTCCCATTAACAGTCTGTAAAAATATTTCTCTCTCAATTGTGGTTAGCCGCTTTTTCTAGAATATTTCTGGCAGTTGTAGTATTCCATTTTATTAGATTAGCTTCATTAATATTGGAACCATTTCATCTCTAGAATATTAATCAGGGTTTTTTTCCCTCGGAAATGAATACTTAACCAAGACTGATAACCTGCAAAGAACATGGAATCTGAAGTTGTTTCACCTTGGCTTACTAAATGTTTTCTTGTTCAGTTCCCAATGGGAAGGAGAATAACTGAATACAATATATGGATGAAAGAAACTTTTTGCTTAAAATAAGTGAAACAGTACAGTTTGAAAAGCAGAGTTTTACTTATAAAAGCATTGTTAAGATTTAGAAATTAATTGCCAAAGATAATATAAATCTGCACTGATATTTCTCTCAAATGCCCATTTGAAGATCTGTATCCTACTCCAATTTAGACTCCAAATTATTCCATGAACAATTACATAAACCTGTAGTTACACATACCTCGAGCACCATCTCAGTCATTTGAAACCGTCTTTGAGAGCTTTTGTCGGAAGTCACTGGTTCATGGAGCAGTACACCAAACATATCATACTTCTTTAAGGCCTGCTTGTAGTTTTTCTCACTCAAGTCAACCACACGATCTTTCCCATCATAGGTAGGGAAGTCTAGTCCTTCTTCAGCCCTGTAGCAAGCAAGCACATAAAAAACTGCCAGGAACCAGCAAGCTGCCTTCATACTGCTGTACTTCTGTGAGTTTATCTGGGAGAAGAAAAGGAAATTTTAGGGGAAAAGCCTGGAGAAATTCAGCAATCTCTATGCACTGTTTTGATCCCCACGTTTTTCCAGTAAATTGATCTAGATGGATTCAGGTCACCAGGAAGCATCTGTAGCAAGTAAGTAACCCTTGTTTGAAGACAAAGGCAAAAAAAAAAAAAAAGGAGAAGCTGAGAGACCAAACCCTGGATACCTTACATAGCTCAGGCCAGCTTCTGTGTCATTCAGAACTCCATTTTTAGGAAGCAGTTGTTTAAAGCTATTAATAGATCCTACAATGAATAAAAAGGAAAGATATGACATGATTGAGAGACTGCTGGCACACTGCCTCTGAGTGAGAGAAAGGAAAAGCAGAGGGTGGGGAAGAATTCAAGGGAGATTTACATTCTTCCTTGTGCAGAAAACTGGCAATCATCAACCAGAATGCATAAGTTTATGGCAATTTCCCTTGCAAATACTTTATTGTATTATTTATTTTACTAAAAACAATTAAAGAGTGTTTTAAATGAGATCCTTTAATTATCATTCATTTTATGAAGGAAAAACTCCATAAAATGCTTCTGGGATTTTCTTTTTTGTGGGATTTGAGGGGGATTCCATTTGCTTCAGATGTACCATCTAATTATAAGTCATTTCCAGGCCATAAAACTTGTCCTATAGCTTGCAGTTTAAAAAAAAATATGTAAACAAATGTTCTGCATTTATCTTCTGTGAGCCGTTGTTCAGATTGAAATTTAGTAATTTGATTTATCAGATTTAAAAAAAAAAGCTGGAGGAAACTTGGGAGTCAGACAGGTTTTTCTCAATTCCTTATAAATCAAAAGGGGATTTAAATGCAGCATGAGCAAAGAAAGATGAACTCCTTTCTTATAGCGAACCATTATTTTTAGCTCCTGTTCTCCTGGAAAGGAAAACTGATCTCTCCTCATGTCATCTATTCAGGCTGAACTTTGTGTTACTGCCTACCTCACCAATTTACATTAATGTTATTAATTTAATAGTAGGCATGTCTTTTCACATAAGAACTGCTGCTGTGGTTTCTTTCACTTAAGAGCTGGGCCCTCACATTGAGAAAGCATTAGGGGTATTTCAAGGAATTATCATCCTTCTCTACTGAAAACAGAGTCGTCTGCTGGATTATTTCTCAAATAGTCTTTATATCAATTTTACATTTGCTTTATATCATTTTTACATTACAGGAGACATGATGAAAACTTACTATCACAAGACATGGGCAGATGTATAACCATAGTTTCAACTGAGAAGCTGTGAACATCCAGAACCAAGCCAAATCAAAAAAATGCTAGAGAATTCCCAGAAGTCTAACACTCAGACAAATCACCATCAGTGGGCACATAGACACAAACATCTACATATCATTCAAAAGAGACAATCAAAAAGCCAAAAGGGAAGCCAAAAAACCAAAACACCAGCAATGAATACCCAGATGAGTTGAGATTATTACCAATATTAACAATCAAGAAGTCAAATCAAGGAACTGCTAAACAAACTAATAGTAAACAGCCCAGTCAAAGAACCTCCAAGACTATTCCCACCAAAACTGATAGGGCAAGCCACTAGTATATAAAGTGAGAGCAAATCCTATTCCCTACTTGTAAAGTTCAGTGGGCAAACATAGTCGTGAGGCTTGATTGCTCAAACTCAGCTTTATTAACTTTCAAGCAACTAACAACAACTAACTGGACGAAGTAACCGAGCGAAACGTAACTCCTGACAGCCGCTTAAATAGCAAGCTGTCAAACACGAGAACCAATGAGCGAGCAGCAATTTCCCTCCACTTCAGAAGCTCGCAACAGAACCAATCAGCATAGCCCGGCAACAGCCGGGCGCGCTGATCATAGCTGTGAGGACTCAACACCCCTTCGCACCCAGCTCGCGCACTCGTAGTCCTCCAAATACGTGGGACGACGACAGCACCTCCCAGAGCATCGCACCGTAGGCTCGGCAGGTGCCTCCGGCGGGGCCCCACTTTCTTTCTCTGGCGCTGCGGGAAGTGGGTTGTCATTCATACGAGGAGGACTCGAACTCGGCGCCAGACCCGGGATGTCAGGTAAGTTCTCCGGCAAGGATGCTGCAGGAAGGGGAGGCCGGATGGGCTCCGCACTGGGAAGTGTCTCAACTGGATGGCATACGGTTGTTGGTGTAGGCCGGAGGTCGAGGTCTGCAACTCGCCGTCTCAGCTGGTTTATATGTCGTCACCAAATCCTCCCCTCGGCGAGTTGGACCCTATAAGAATAGGGCCCCATTATTTGAATTATCTGTCCTGGTAGCCATCATATGTCTTTGTCAAAGTTCAGTGCGTGTACCAAGTCCCCCACACTGAAGACCCGTGGTGGAAAACACGTCCCGGGAGATGGCTTTTGAGCGTAGTTAGGGTGCAGATGGTCTAGGGTTGTTTGGAGCCGTCTGCCCATGAGCAGCTCAGCGGGGCTTTGCTTAATAGACGTGCAAGGGGTCGTGTGCTGGGCTAACAGGTACAAGTGGAGTTTGTGGTGCCAATCGGTGGACCCTAAGTGGCGCAGCGCCTCTTTGGCAGAGCGCACGGCCCATTCCGCCTGCCCATTAGCTGCCGGATGTAGTGGAGCTATTTGGGCATGGTGGATGCCCAACCGGGGAAGAAACAGTTGGAAGGTGGCTGCTGTAAATTGAGGCCCGTTGTCGGTGACTATGGTATCCGGTAACCCATGGGTGGTGAACCAGCCCTCCAAAATCCTGATGACGGCCGAGGAAGTGGTTGATTGCATTAAAGCGAGCTCCACCCATTTAGAGTGGGCATCGACTGCAATCAAAAAGGTCTGGCCGAAAAAGGGGCCCGCTAAGTCTAGGTGGAGGTGCGCCCACGGCGCCCCTGGGGGTTCCCAATCCTGTATGGGCGCTGAGGGGGGTTGCGGGACAAGTGCGTTGGTATTGGCAGCAGCGGGCCACCCAGTCCTCAACCTGTTGATCAAACCCCGGCCACCACACGTAGCTGCGGCCGAGGGCTTTCATGCGAACTACCCCGGGGTGGGCAGTGTGTAGGCCCGATAGGACCTGATCCCGAAGATCCGGGGGCACAACCACCCGGTTACCCCAAAGTAGGCAGCCTTGTAACACCGACAACTCATGGCGCCTACGGAAAAAGAGAAGAAACTCCACAGGGCCCTGTGAGGTTGGCCACCCCCTGCGCACCCAGTCCAAGACACTGGAGAGTGTTGGGTCCACAGCCGAGCGGGCGCTAACATCTGCAGCCATGACCAAGGAAGGCAGTTCGTCCATTAGAAGGACAGCAGCTGAGGGGGCAGGGTCAAGGACAGGCAGGGGAAGTGGGCAGCGGCTAAGGGCATCCACGTGCCCGATAGCTTTGCCTGGTTTGTACAGCAACTGGTAGGAGTAAGCGGCTAAAAATTCCACCCAGCGCGACATTCTCGGAGACAAGATTTGGGGGGTCTGCTTGTCATTAGCAAGCCCAAAAGGGGCTTGTGATCAGTGACTAGGAAAAAAAACCTGCCATACAGGTAGTCGTGGAATCGTTTGATTCCGGCTACGGCTACCAAAGCCTCACGATCTGACTATAATTCCTCTCTGAAGCTGACAAGGTCCTGGAATAGTAGGCGACTGGAGCCTCGGCGCCTGAAGGCAAAATGTGGCTCAGGACAGCCCCCACCCCGTAGGGGGAGGCGTCGCAGGTCAAAGAGAGAAGCAAAGAGTCGTCATACTGCACCAGGCCGGCGTTGGAGGAGAGGACTGTTTTAACGGCCTTAAAAGAATCGGCGGTGCACCGATCCCAATGCCATGGAGATTTGGAGTCAAGGAGCCAATGGAGAGGCTCCACCAAGGAAGACTTGTGGGGCAAAAAGACAGAATAAAAATTGAGGAGGCCAAGGAAAGCCTGGAGTTGGGCTTTGGATGTGGGAGTAGAGGCTTGTTTAATAGCCTCCACCTTGGCCGGGGCGGGTCGGATGCCGGAAGCATCAATAAGGAACCCCAAAAACTCTACCCGGGGAACTCCTATGTGACACTTTTCTCTCTTAAGTTTTAGTCCTGCCTTTCGGAAACGGGTAAGGACAGCCCTAAGTTTGTTGACGAGGTCGCCCTGATCCGCAGCCGTGATCAGGACGTCGTCAAAATATGGCACCACCCTCTGTAACCCATGGAGCAGCCGCTCCATAAGGCTTTGAAAGATCCCCGGGGCCACACAGACGCCAAATTGTAACCGGGTGCATTTGAACGCACCCCTATGGGTGATGATGGTTTGAGCCAGGGCCGTCTCGTTATCGACTGGGAGTTGTTGATAGGTCTGGGCCAAATCAAGCTTTGCAAAGATCTTACCCTGGCCAAGGGAGTGTAATAAGTGTTGGACAATGGGCACCGGGTAATTGTTGGCTTGAAGCGCCCTGTTAAGCGTTGCTTTGTAATCAGCGCAAATTCTAATTGAACCATCGCGCTTGAGGGGAATTACTATGGGGGTCTCCCACTTGGAATGTTCTACTGGTTGAAGGATCTCTTGAGCGATGAGCTTATCCAGCTCTTTATCAACCCTGGGCCGTAATGCAAGGGGCACCCTGCGCGGTTTCAGACATATGGGCGCCACTTGCGGGTCGAGATTGAATGAGATGGGAAGGCCATTGTATTTACCAAGGCAGCCATCAAACACATCAGCAAATTCCCTCATGATGTCAGTAGTGACAGCAGGGCCAGTGGAGTGGATACCAGAGAGACCGAGATGAAGGGCAGAGAACCAATCTAGACCAAGTAAGGACTGGAGGCTGTCTCGCACAATGACTAAGGGTAGGTGGCCAGAAAATGAGCCATAAGAAACCCGGAAAGATCCACACCCCAGGGTTGGAATCAATTTTCCCTGATAGTCCCTTAACATGACATGACAGGGCTGTAATTTCCGCCAGGAGATAGAGGGGCACAAACCCTTGAGTGTGGGCCATGCGATTAAGGATTTGGAGGAGCCCGTGTCAACTTCCATTCTACATGGGGCTCCTTCCAGTAGGACGGTCAGATAAATCTTACTGTCAGAGAGTGGGGAAGAGGCGTGGCTTATGGCCAGCGCCAACACCTCGGCATCCTGAGAGATAGCGAAACTCTCTCTTCCTCTCTCTCGCTCTCTGCAACCAGGCTGTTTAAACTTCTGTCGCTTAAGCCCCGGCTCCTCCGTGTCATCTGAACTTGGGAAACTCGCGCGGCAGACTCTGAAG